GGTGCTGTGGCATGCTGCTGTTGTCAGTATGCATCATGCGGTGCTGTGGCATGCTGCTGTTGTCAGTATGCATCATGCGGTGCTGTGGCATGCTGCTGTTGTCAGCATGCATCATGCGGTGCTGTGGCATGCTGCTGTTGTCAGCATGCATCATGCGGTGCTGTGGCATGCTGCTGTTGTCAGCATGCATCGTGCGGTGCTGTGGCATGCTGCTGTTGTCAGCATGCATCGTGCGGTGCTGTGGCATGCTGCTGTTGTCACTATGCATCATGCGGTGCTCTGGCATGCTGCTGTTGTCAGCATGTAACATGCGGTGCTCTGGCATGCTGCTGTTGTCACTATGCATCATGCGATTCTGTGGCATGCTGCTGTTGTCAGCATGTAACATGCGGTGCTCTGGCATGCTGCTGTTGTCACTATGCATCATGCGGTGCTGTGGCATGCTGCTGTTGTCACTATGCATCATGCGGTGCTGTGGCATGCTGCTGTTGTCAGCATGCATCATGCGGTTCTGTGGCATGCTGCTGTAGTCAGCATGCATCGTGCGGTGCTGTGGCATGCTGCTGTTGTCACTATGCATCATGCGGTTCTGTGGCATGCTGCTGTTGTCAGCATGCATCATGCGGTGCTGTGGCATGCTGCTGTTGTCACTATGCATCATGCGGTGCTGTGGCATGCTGCTGTTGTCAGCATGCATCGTGCGGTGCTGTGGCATGCTGCTGTTGTCAGCATGCATCATGCGGTGCTCTGGCATGCTGCTGTTGTCAGCATGTTTTTCTAGCCACACTCCTATATCCACGACTCCAGATCAACATCTTGTTTCGCAAGCGATAACTTTTTTATCGTCAACAAAGTTCTCACCTCATCTTGTTTTGATTCAAATTATTCGAAAGTTTCTCGGCTAAACTTAACTTGAGGATGTGGAAGACCCCAGGAGGCAATTTCAGGTTGATTCAACGTTGAAACAACGTACTTCTTTATTCTGAAATGACGTTGAATATTAGTCTAAAATGAAACGTACATCAACTCCGGTTTTTACATCGCATATTTCGACGTTGTTTCAACGTTGAAATCGCGTTGAATTCTGATGAAAAAGCACATTTATAAAAGGTTTCATAAGATTTCAATGATCTATCATAAATGTCACAGTATTTGAGCACCGTATCATAATGAGCTGCATTTGCTATTTATAGAAATACTACTCGTATTTGTTACCATATTTATTCATTTAAATTTACTTCTCCCCTGAAAGATCAAATTTAGCTGGATTGGAGTCCCGGACCTCTGGCTCGCGCGCTGCGCCTTCGCCCGCCGGACCACGGTGAACCTTGCATCGCAAGGGAGATTAAGAGCTATTGAACTAACGTTCTATATCATAACTTATTGAAAAGTCACTTCTGTGCCTAAATTATATAGATATTATTTATTTCTTTTGTTATTCACAGAAGAAACAATTAAAGATGTGGAATGTTTAAAATCACCATCACACCGTCACTACTTGCAGGTCGCGTGCACTGAGTACATTAATTGTAGATAGGCTAGCAAACAGTATTTATATATATAATAGATGCAGCTCATTGTAATGTCGTGCTCATATAGTGTGACAATCATGATAAATCATGTAGACCTGATGAAAAGTTTTATAAATGTAATTTTAGCGTTAGAATCCAACGTGATTTCAACGTTGAAACAACATCGAAATGTACGACGTTGATAGATGGCTTTGATTCACTTTTAATTCCGGACTAATATTCAACGGCGCTAGAGGGATGGTCCTTAATGGTCGCTACGACACATCGCCGTTCAGAAATTTTATTGAAGAAGTGGTCATTAAAATAATGCAAATAAATGATAACAAGCCAGCTTTCCATGACGAAAAACGTCCGATAAACAATATATTTGATTGCATTGTTAACCATTATGTGATTCTTGAAAACATGATCATGTGTAGTTGTGTTCACTAGAGATAATATACTGTAATATAATAATTAGTGATAATGTACTATACTAGTCAGTAGCAGAACTAACTAGTATAGTACATTATACTAGCTGAACAGACTACTATAGTACATTATACTAGCAGAACTAACTAGTATAGTACATTATACTAGCTGAACAGACTACTATAGTACATTATACTAGCAGAACTAACTAGTATAGTACATTATACCAGCAGAACTAACTATTATAGTGCATTGTACTAACAGAACTAACTAGTATACTACATGATGGAAGTGTTTGCCTGGCTGCTGCACGGCGCGCTGGCTGAGGCGCGTCGTTCGCTCCGTGACGCCCAAAGAAAGCAGCGGCCTTGAGGCGGCGGCTGCAGCTCCGTCCGTTGCCCTCTCACGCTGCCTCGCACACACCTACCTGCCGGCGCCCTGCACCCAACCCCTCGGCCCCTGCAGGTGCCTTCCACCCGTACTGTTCACCCCTGGTTGCGCGTTGCACTCAACCCCTCGGCCCCTGCAGGTGCCTTCCACCCTTACTGTTCACCCCTGGTTGCGCGTTGCACCCAACCCCTCGGCCCCTGCAGATGCCTTCCCCCGTCCTGTTCACCCCTGGTTGAGCGTTGCACTCAACCCCTCGGCCCCTACAGGTGCCTTCCACCCGTCCTGTTCACTCCTGGTTGAGCGTTGCACTCAACCCCTCGGCCCCTACAGGTGCCTTCCACCCGTCCTGTTGACCTCTGTTTGAGCACTGGACCTAACCCGTCCCCTCAGTCCCTGCAGGTGTTTTGCAGCTGTTCCCTTCTCCCCTACTTGAGCCTGCAGCCGGAGCCTGGTTCTTATCTCTCAGTGCCCAGTTTTTCACCCATTATTAGTGGCCTGCATCAAGCACAGTAGTAAGTGACCAGACTCTTATTCGCCTGCTTGGTGCCATCAACACGGTTAAACTACACATATTTTGTCAGTTCCTGATCCCAACCTAATAGAAGTGGTTTGTCACGACCTCTATAATATGCTAGCCTCTTCCAATATTAAGAGTTCCAATATTAAGAGTTATAACCTTTTCAGTCAATATGAACGAACAATTCATTATTTGCGGAAACGATTTCGAATAAATGAGAGGCCACTTAATTACCATGAGCGGTTTGAGGCCAAAAAGAATAATAAACATGGTTCTGACATGCATTGCCTGCGTAGTCTGCGTAGCCTGCGAGACTGCTTCTCCAGCTCAGTGGCTACGGGCTGACCTTCTCAGGTATCATTCTTATAGAAATAACGGAGCATATTGTCATTGAAAATTATTATGTTAGAAAAAAAACATTCTAATAACAAAAAATACTGAATAGCTGTAGAAAACTGAAATTTAACATGAATTAAAAATTTCACAAATTATCAGCCTTGGGAGGAAGCTCCTAATTATAGTCAACTTGAGCAAATAAAACAAACATTCGTATGGAATTATGTGATATTTAAGCCCTGTTTTTTTAGAATTCATTTACCTCTATTGCACTGTATAGTCTTCATGTTGTTTTGTTCAGTCCAGCTTTGGCTATACCATCAATTATTCTAAAGAATGTGAAAATCAGTGTTCTGCTTTTCGCATAAATTATTTTGAAACGAAAACACTGATGTCTCGATATTTTGATGCAGCGATCTGACATCGATTTATTTCAGGCGATTCATGTTTCATCATTTAGCTTCTCGTGGTTCACAATCTATAATCAAATCCGATATTACACAAATTATGATTTTATATCACGATTCGAATTTAGGGGATGACCGAGTCTTTGATTATGACGCCCAATCATCATCTTAGGTGCTCAACAAAAGTTGATCAGACTCCCAATGGACCGGTAATGGTGAGGCTCATTGAATTTCAGTCAGCGATCCTGAATTTATGAAGGCGAAAGCAGTACTTGCATGCTATTTAATCACCGGCACCTCATGCGGTCAATGAAAGATTGATGTCCGCCAGACACCGCAAGTGAGTAAATTGTTTTTGATTTTCATCACGTTGGGGGGCCGACACGGTCGTTTAGTCGAAACCAAGTTAAACAAGTTGGTTCGTAATTCCATTTAGAAGAAGGTTATTTCAATTTTATAAAGATATCAGGTGCTATTTTTAAACAAATGCTTATTTAAACGCAAGAATACGACTATGTTATTAACGAATCTTGCAAGGAAACGTGTCCCACGTAGCACAGCTGTGTCTGGAAAGTTTTTGTATACGAAGAATCTGGGCCGCAGAGCAACCCTAAATTGAACTGCCAGGGCAAGCGCCTTGGCGAGCTGCAGGAGAAACCTTCAGCACCACCTCACGTGTGGTGGTGGTGGAGATAGTCAGCACCACCTCACGTATGGCGGTAGTGGAGATAGTCACCACCACCTCACGTGTGGTGGTGGTGGAGATAGTCAGCACCACCTCACGTATGGCGGTGGTGGAGATAGTCAGCATCACCTCACGTATGGCGGTGGTGGAGATAGTCAGCACCACCTCACGTATGGCGGTGGTGGAGATAGTCAGCACCACCTCACGTATGGCGGTGGTGGAGATAGTCACCACCACCTCACGTATGGTGGTGGTGGAGATAGTCAGCACCACCTCACGTATGGCGGTGGTGGAGATAGTCAGCACCACATCACGTATGGTGGTGGTGGACATAGTCAGCACCACCTCACGTATGGCGGTGGTGGAGATAGTCACCACCACCTCACGTATGGCGGTGGTGGAGATAGTGAGCACCACCTCACGTATGGTGGTGGTGGAGATAGTCAGCACCACCTCACGTATGGCGGTGGTGGAGATAGTCAGCACCACCTCACGTATGGCGGTGGTGGAGATAGTCAGCATCACCTCACGTATGGTGGTGGTGGAGATAGTCAGCACCACCTCACGTTTGCCTGCGGTTAATGTCCGATATTTGACCCACTCGATCTGTGCGCAGAATAGCATATTAGACTCCCAAAGTTTATGACGACTGGAAGCAATAACGGAACTGTTTGTTGAGCGACGGTAAGCTTAAAATATACAGAATGCATAACCTGATTCGGACCGATTACATTGGAAAAAACGTGAGAATCGTTCGCGCTTCGTAAGTCTAATTGCAGCAACAAGGCTCACCATTTGCATAGAAAGCTCGGAGTATACTACTATAGTAGCCCGGATATTTCTATACATCAGCTCGGATCCCTTCGAGCAAATAACTTAAAAATTAGTTGGCTACTAAAAACTAGAGGCAAAAGGAGTGAAACTGTCAGTTGATTGGAATGATTTCGATGTGTTCATCGTGGTTCTGGCAAAGGGAAATGTGGCAGTGCTCTATGATCCGATCTATACTGAGACTTAATTACAATTTACGATACCGCCAAATTTCCGCTGTTCCCATTTTAGAATAAAGACTCATTGAGAAACCACACCGATTCCGGATGCCATTGATAAATTAAGGCCACCAAATTTTGTTTTGATTGCAGCCATGCGTTTCTTTTAAATCAAATAATTGATAAACGAATAATTTTGATTAGGGGAGAAAGGCATTTCGGATGTTCCATATTTATCAAGACATGTATGTGTCCTGGAGAAGAGGGTGAGAATAATAATCGATAATGGCTGATTAAGAAACGTTCGCAGATAAGAAAAAGAACTGTCGTCGAAAGATACCTTTATTTCTCCTCGAAGTGATCAAATGAACATTCAATTACGATCTGCACGCATGTTGCTCGGACACAGAACAGACCTTTGCACCAGACCTTGTTGCTCGCTGACCTTTCGACGTCAAATTTATTAATTCTGTGCTTGATTACTGTA